GGGGCACTGGATGACAAACTGTGAGCAGACACTTCACATTCATCTTTAATTAGCTGGGATTTCTTAATGGAACAATTGCACCTGTTGCAGGGAGGACTCACGAGAAGTGTGGACTGCTGAATAAAACAACCATAAAGAGCCAGATAAATGTTTCAGAACGAGCCACATCAAGTTTCCCGCCGTCCTTGTGAAGGCTAGGCTAATAAAACTCACTTTCCTGTTGCATAATGGGATGTGAAGTGTCAAACTATTACCCTATTAAATTTCCCGCCGCTGAAACTTGTACATTTCTGTTCTAATGACACACAACACGGTTGTGGGCTTACCTTCAGCGTCTCTATGTCGAGAGTAGCCGACTGCTCCATGTTACAGTCTCATTTCTCTCTTACATATTTCCACAAAGTTGCCACGAGCTGAAACGCACTAGATTGAGCCGAGCGGCGCGAGGCTAGCAGCACTTCTTCTGATTCGCTCCCATTCAGAAAAAAAAAGACCAAAAAAAAAAAGAGGAAAAATCCAATGTTTGAGGCGAATGGTGATTTATTTTTATCTACATTTATAAACAGCACTTTCGAGATCTTTTTTTAAGCCGTATTATGGACCGTAACGGGAGTTCAAACGGGCTGCGGTCTCATTCAGATACGGGGCTCAGGTGGACTCCAACCCGCGGCTCACTTTCCTTCGAGGAGCAGACGAGACGAGTCGCTCTCCTTCCAAAAGTCAAGCAGCCGTCAACACGCAGAGGGTGGCCAATCACACGTCCGCTGCTGGATTTCAAAATAAAGGTCGTGGAGCTGAGCATACACGTGCATCTCTGCTATATATATATATATTTTGAGATGAGATGTTTTTGTTTTAAACAGTGGTGGAATATGTAAAGTACAGTTTTAAGGTACTTTTTTGTAGTTTGTTTGTAGTTAATTGCAATATTATACAAATCGTAACAGTGTAAGTGCAATGTCCAAATTGCAAGACGCTGCAGTTTTTTGATAAAGATGAAATGTGTCAAAACAGAATTATAATAAAGTACTGTAGTGCTGCAAAGACTACCTAGAAACATTGTTCTCCATATGTATAAAAACAGTTTTGTTTTGATTCTTTTTGTGGTACAGACCTCAACAAATATCACATCATCACAATTTTAATATTTTTTTTTCGATCACACTTAAAACTTGTAATGCAAAAATGATCATTCCCACTATTAATGAATCTTTTTTTTTAATAATCGCAGATTAAAGTACCCAGTAGTATATTAAGTAATAAGGCACAAAGCATCAGTAATTATAATGCAGCAATATAATATATATGATTCTAAAATGCAGAATTGTGCATAATCAGTACTTTTGGTAGGAATACTGTAATGCTAATACTTTTTACTTTAAGTAACATTTTGAATGTAGGACTTTTACTTACTAACAGAGAGTTTTTACATTTTGGTATTACTACTTACCTGAATGCCTCCTCCATTACTTTAAAGCCCCATACAGTACACCTACACAGGTGTTTCCATTTATCCTGGCTGAAATTAACTCCAGTTAACTATATTCAGTTAAAATTATATTATTTTACAAAGAAAAGTGCCTCTGTTGTGTTTCAGGTTCTTTTTTTTTTGCCACGCACGTATGCATTTTATTCTGAAAACAGGCCATCGTGTAATTTCCTGTTTTATCATAGTGAAATCTGGTGTGTTTGACACAATTCAAACCCCATTCAGCAGTGCACATACTGGTTAAACACTGTTTAAAACGAGATTATGCGACCAGAATCAGCAGCAGCAGAAGTCACTCTTAAAAAACTCTCCCTGACTCACTGTTACAAACTAGACTGTAAGGCTTTTGGATGCCAACACTGATCATCATTAAACGAAAATAAACTAAATAAATGTTAAACTACTGCCACGAGAAATGTACATATAGGTCTGCAGAGGAATATTAAAGCGCTATATTTCCTCTAAGAGCACATACATTACATTGAACTGCTTTATTGGTCGCTGTTGCACCCTGCAGGGGACAGGGTGACACTGCAGTAAGAGTAAATATGTAGCTTTTATTTATGTATAAACTGATGCTGGTCAGAGAATGAAAGAAAGAATGTAGTGAAAAGAAAAAAGTGGTAAATGCAGAAAAATGCTCTCTGCGACATCTTTGGGTTATTTTTACTCATTAATTGATGTAAAAGCAGGATTGTACTGTTATGGTTGGTTGGGGTGGAGCTAATATTAAGTAATTTGTATAAGACTGCAACTAATGATTATTTTCATTATGGATTAATCGGCTCATTATCTTCTCCATTAATCGATTAGTTGTTGGTGAGAAATTCCATCACCCAGAGCCCAAAGTGACACCTTCACCCTGCAATAAATAGGATTTATTAAAAAATCTAAAAGAAAAAACAGCTAATTCTTACATTTGTAAAGCTGGAACCATGAAATGTTTTTGCATAAAAAATGACTAAAAGGATTATCCGAATAGTGTTATTAGTCCATTGACTCATTGATTAACTGACTAATCGTCTCAGCTGTATCAGCTCCTCATGTGTTTTTTATGTAAAAGTCTTAATATGTAAAGTCACTAGTAAAATGTATATTTCCCTCTGAAATGGAGTGGTAGAAGTATAAAGTGGCATGAAAAGAAGATACTCAAGTAAGTACCTCACATTTGTACTTAGGTAGCACTTATATATATATATATAGTGTATATGTTATATTGCACCATTGGAAAAGACAAAAGTCTTACATTTTGAGGAGAAGTGTCAAGAAAGTATGGCTTTTCTATAAGCTGTATATTTTAGGCTTTATTTATTTCATTTTTAAGATAATTAGGTAACTTTTTTGAAGTGAAAAAGAATATAAATGGAAGAATAGTATATTATATATAATTATGAATATTAATGAAGATATAAAGGCCTTGTAGCTAGATAAAAAGTGAGCTTATGTGTAATTTAGGAATAATATTTGTCAAGTTAAACATACCAGGTTAGTTTCCGTTGCAGTGTCCTTTAAAATACAGCAGAGGGCAGCAAAGTCTCAGGCTGGCTGTCTCCAGACAAACACAATCAACCTCTGAGCTCCAACCCTGAACCAGGATTAATAATCGAACATCGATACATTTATTCATCATCGCAAGGATGTCAGACGCCAAGCAAATCATGGCACAGAAAAGGTAGATATCTACATTAGATCAGCGTTACCCTTTTATATCATGAGATCATTTATCAACTATTTTAGCTTTTAGGGGATAAAAAAACCGTCTTCATCTTTTAATAATCCTTCCCATGGCGACATCCATATTTACAGCTCGGCTTATAATGGAGATGCTTTAATTTCACTGTAACAGTGTGTTTATTGTGTAATTGATTGATTTGAATATGACAGTATCTGTGTGTTCTTGCAGTTCTAAAATAGCAGCTGGAGCTGTCGTGTGTGTTGAGAGTGAAATGAGAGGAGATGTGACCATTGGTGAGAATTTGCCTTTAACCTCACTATCAGCGCCATTTGAATACATTTAGGTTGTTTTTAATCCAGCTGCTGCATGCTTTAATAAAATCAGACTTTATTTATTATTTTTTTTACAGGTTCTAGAACAGTAGTCCACCCCAAAGCACGGATCATAGCAGAGGCAGGCCCTATTATCATTGGAGAGGGCAATCTAATAGAGGAGCAGGCGCTTATTATTAACAGGTACACTGTGTATTACAACATAAAGTCCCTATTTTATTATTGCACTTTCACCTTATCTTACCTGTGTGTTTTTTTCCTGCAGTTATCCAGAGAACATCATGCCGGACACAGAGGGAGTTGAGCCAAAAACCATGATAATAGGCACCAATAATGTGTTCGAGGTTGGATGTGGTATCCTTTACAAAGCAAATGAGAACACACAGGCATGTGACTAACTTTGCAGCTTATTATTGCAGATATATTTGAACAGCCGATGAGTAAGAAATGTCTTCATAAATACCAAAGATGAGTGGAAACAGTGTTGCCCCTATATAGACTGTCCACCAGAGAGCACTGTTTAGATTATTTAAGCAGTAAAATGTCCCACTGATCTAATAAATATCAGCCATTAGTTATAGTTTGACTATTAACTGTTTTGAAATGCTAATTATTAGGTTTAAATCCTTAACAATTCTGCTACAGTCTCTCAAGCTTTGAAAATTGGAGACAACAATGTGATTGAGTCTAAAGGTGAGTATTGTAATCACTCACTGTATTCCTATTAGGAGTGTGCAACACGGATCAGATCTTCTATTATGATATACACATTTCATACCTCAGTAAGGATATCTATCATGATATAGTAGATCAAATTCAGAAGCCTTTTGTTGAGGAAATAAGCAGTCAGGAACGGTTGTTATCGGCTAATACAGCACATTTAATAATCTAATGAAGGTACATCATCACATTGATGCAAAAATCAAATACAAATATACTATTGTTATAAAACAGAGCTGCTCAGTGATCGCACACAATGGTGTAAATTACCCAGAAATACTGAAGGTATAACAGTCCGGCAGAGTTGATCAATTTATATAATCTTACAGTGAATATTCTCATATTGTTCTGTAACCCTTATTTCCATATTCCCATAGTGTAAATACAATATGTTTGATAATGTTAAATCCCAGCTGATCTCGGGAGAAACGTGATCCTGACCAGCGGATGCATCGTCGGCGCGTGCTGCCAGGTCAACACGTGTGAGGTCGTGCCGGAGAACACGGTCGTGTACGGTTCAAACTGCATCCGGCGTGTGCAGAGTGAAAAACCACAGGTCAGTCTACGCCCATGCTCGTCTTTGCCCGTGAGTCACAAAGTTTTTGCTGTAACCAGGGATGCTGTTGTTGTTGTTTTTCATCTTGTAGCCTCAGACTCTGCAGCTCGACTTCCTCATGAAGATCCTGCCCAACTATCACCACCTGAAGAAGACTGCCAAAGGAAACAGCACGCCTGTGAGGAACTGAAGATGCGACCCAAAGCATCTGCACACACTGACACTGACACATTCCCCTCAACTTGCACTTGTCTTACACTTCCACGCGTCTAGTAGAATACCTCTGGCACTGCAAATGACACATCCCACGCTTTATTCCTTCCTGCATCTTCAACACATGACACAGTTTCTGGTTTTGTACTTTTGCTTTCAGATTAATATTAACTAATTATGACTATTTCTGTGCCATTTTTATTTTATGTCAATTATACTTATACATATTTATAATTGTTCCATTAAAGACATATAAATATTGCAATAACAATTCTAATAAAGATTGCATTCAAGCTTTTATTCCTCCTAGTGTTGATTTTATGTTCCCTATATTTATTTTACCACAAGGAGGAGCTATTGAGCAGCTGTTTGTACACCCTCTGTACTGTCTGCTCTGAAGGCTTTGTTTCATCAGGTGATATATAATATCCAATTAAAATAATGTTTATTAATAATACAACTAAAAATATCTATATCATCATGTTTTTGCAATGAAAATAGTCCTAAGATAAAGTTTCTGGGATAAAAACAGTCACGATAAATGACGTGTTGGTGACTGGCTGTAAGCTGATTTACCGTTTTAAAAGTGCAATTACTAAGCAAAGATAACTTTGGGTGTGGTAGTCCCCATCTTGGATTCGGTAGGTTGCCAGTCCTGCGCCCTCCCACCAGGGGTTGTCAAATTGGTGCCCTGGTTACAGTGGGAATTCCAC